CTGGCGGTGCTGATGGCGCATTTCCTTGCTCCTGGACTCTGGCCCCCAAGGTCCCCGAATGGGGTGGATGAGGGCGGTACCCTCAGATCCGGGCGTGGCCGTTTTTGTCGCACTGGGCCCTCACATATCGATCTGGCTCGAAAAATGATGCAGCAAGACTGGATCTAGGATCTCAGTCTCTGGTCGTGATTTGTGTTGCGATGCTGTGATTTCTTTTGCAACGTCGGATCTCAGGGGGGTAGGGACGGGAGCTGGGTGGCGGGGCTCCCCCCGCCGCCTCCCCCCTCTCCCCAATCCCCGCCTCGCCCCCGACCTCCGCACGCCCGTGGCACCCTGCCCCTGGCGGTTGCCACCGCAAGAGCCTGTTTCTTTATTGCTTGGGGCATGACGGGCGTCATGGCCCCCGCTTCCCCCCCCTCACCACTCCCCCACCAGTGCGCTCCGGGCACTGCCGCCGTGCGCATTGGGATCCGCGTAGGTGTCCGCGTAGGAATCACATAGGTGTCTGGTCCGCAGGCGTCGTCGTCGTCGTCGTCGTCGTCGTCGTCGTCGTCGTCGTCGTCGTCGTCGTCGTCGTCGTCGTCGTCGTCGTCGTCGTCGCTCGTCGGTTCGTCGCTCGTCGCTCATCGTCGTCGTGCGCGCGGACGCGGCTGGAGCCTGTTTTTAAGTCCGGGCCGATGACGGCAATCATCTGGGGGGGGAGGGGGTCGATGACGTCACGTTTCGCGCCGGCGGCGTCTGGGAATGCTTAGGAATGACGGAGGACGGGTAGCACGAACATGTAGGTGGCGATATGCACCACAACGCCTGTGTACATCACAGTGCCCGCGTGCACCGCAGCGCTTGTGTACACCACACCGCCGATGTACACCACAGCAGCCGCGTGCAACACAACGCCAGTTTGTGCCACCGTGTCTGCGGGCACAGCAGCTCCTGCGTACACCACAGCGCCTCCGTACCCCCCATCAGCCGTGAGCAACACAGCACCAGTGTACACCACATTGCCTGCGTGCATTGCAGTGCCTGTGTACGCCACGGCGCCTGTGTGCACCACATCAGCCGTGTGCAACACAGCACCATTGTTGTGTATAGAATTTCAGAAATGATATTTCTGACAAAATGGAGCGCGTGTGGATTCAAAAAAAAAACGATGGAAAACAAATCCTCATGGACAAAGGAGCGCCGCTGGAATCTACGAGTCCCCCCGAGTCCGCCCGCATCACCCTAACTTCCATTTGCGTCCAGGAGGCTCCAGCTAAACTGGCCGTCCGAGAACCAAGGGCCCATTCAATCGACCATTTTGCGGTGCACGTTGAGATGCGCACGTGCGTTGTAACGCCAAGCCGCACGACAGGGGGTAAGAAGGAGGACAAAAAGGAGGAGTAAAAAAGGAGGAGGAGGAGGAGGAGGAGGAGGAGGAGGAGGAGGAGGAGGAGGAGGAGGAGGAGGAGGAGGAGGAGGAATGGAATGGAATGGGCTCTATCGCGCCACCCCCTGAACTTGTCGAAATACCCGACGAACTGGAAGGCGACGAAGAACGGTCCTCCCCTGAGCACCCCGAGCGGCACGACAACAATGAAGTGCATCATGGCGAACTTAACCAGGGAGGCTTGAAGTAGCAGGACTGGGAGCTGAAAGAGCCTGAGGTTGACGAACAAAGACGACCAAGCCCCAGATATATTCCTCACCCCACCAGGATACTGAAGCAAACTTGGCTGAAATGAAATCGGCTCGATACGGCTCTACTGTGTCACAGATCATCGAGCAACCTTTCACGTATGTCATCCATATCGCCTCCTCCACACACAGCCTCGTAAGACAACTACCGAAGTGTTGCTTCTTCCCTCTTGCACCCAAACCAGTACCTCGGGGAGTATACACACAAACATAAACGAGAGAACGTATACACTGTGCAGACGTCCTGCGAATGCAACACGAGCCTTGGCCCAAGCACAAACTCAGCTGGTCCATTGCGGCACTGCAGGAGAGGGCGTGCCGACGGACCGCTGCTATTGAGCTTTGCTCCATTACGGGTAGCTGCCACTGCCCGCAATGCCTGAGTTCTCGCACCTGCTGGTCACGGCACTGTAGCTGATAACGGTCGGGCTAACATCGCCTCCCACATCGAGCCACGTTCCGCCAGGATTAGCTGCCACTGCACGCCGTTCTCGCACGTGCTTGACCCAAGATCGAGACTCAGCTGGTCCATTACGGCACTGCAGGGGAGGATGCGCCGACGGACCGCTCGCACTGATCCTCGCACCGATACTGGTAGCTACCACTGCCCGCCGCTGCCTGCTTTCTCGCACCACATCTGCACGATAACGTGCACTGTGGTTTTTCGAGGATGCCGCAGCAGCGCCTCGAGGCCACCACCTTCCCTGTGGGTTTTCGAGGATGCCAATGGCAGCGCCGCGGGGCCTCCACCTTCCCTCTCTTCTGTCCGTGCTGCTCCCTGGTGCTGATACCCAGCGGGTCCATTGCGGCAACGCAGGAGAGGATGCGCCGACGGACCACTCTTGCTGAGCCAGCACTATTACTGATAACTGCCACTGCCAGCCACTGCCTGCCTTCTCGCACGTGCTGATCCCGACGATGTAGCTGATAACGGTCGGCCTAACTTTGCCTTCCACCCCAGACCACGCACCGACTGAAATAGCTCTTGCACGCCGTTCTCGCACTTGCCAGGCCACGCATTGACACGGAAGCCGCAGAATCAACCTTGCGAACATATTGAAATACGAACTGGTATGCTGCAGCCACTGCCCTTTGCCACCGCTGGCCCATGACAGCAATGAAAATAATAACATGCCGAGGGACCGCGTCTTAGTCCCACATGCCTGCCTGTTGTCCTCAAACGTTCTTCTCGCACGCACTGATCCGAGCATTGTAGCTGATGAAGTTGGCTCCGCGCCTACCCATCTAGCTTTGCAACGAAAACCCGTTGCCTCTGATTGCTCGCCTCTCACGTGCTGGCGAAACCGTTGTAGCTGATGACGGTCGGTGCACACTTCAGCTCCCGCATGCCGTTCAACTGCCACTGAGCACCCGACCTCTGCACGCCAAACACGCATGCGCCGAGTCCAGTACTGTAGGAGAGGATGGCAGGATTCGACGCTCGAAGAAAGTGAACCAACCACAGGATGTAGAACCAAGAACAAAATGGTAAGCATTCAGAAAGACCTGGCTGAAGGGCTCAAGGCCCTGCCGGAGGTCTGAATACCCCTGGATGGCCGCCTGCTCGAAACTTTCGTCCCACTTCGTCGCCCAGAAAAACGGCACACGCGGTGCTGCAGCCTAGGCGTCCCTCAAGCGCCAACGTGGAGGCGTGGGACGTGACGTCGAAGCTGCTCGAAGCCAAAAGGGTACGGAGAAGCCTCGAGCCACATGTGCTTGAGAGGAGGAGGAGGAGGAGGAGGAGGAGGAGGAGGAGGAGGAGGAGGAGGAGGAGGAGGAGGAGGAGGGAGGAGGGGGAGGGGGAGGAGGAGGAGGAGGAGAGGAGGAGGAGGAGGAGGAGGAGGAGGAGGAGGAGGAGGAGGAGGAGGAGGAGGAGGAGGAGGGAGGAGGAGGAGGAGGAGGAGGAGGAGGAGGAAGGAGGAGGAGGAGGGAGGAGGAGGAGGAGGAGGAGGAAGAGGAGGAGGAGGAAGAGGAGGAGGAGGAGGAGGAGGAGGAGGAGGAACAGGAACAGGAGGAAGAGGAGGAGGAGGAGGTGGAAGAGGAGGAGGGAGGAGGGAACAACCTCGCATTCGATTCTCAGAACTTTCTTGGCGTGGCGTTTAGTTGTCCGCAGCAGATCCTGACGTACATGCTCCTTCTACTTGTCCTGTGCACGCAGGCGCTGTGGTGTACACCAGCGCTGCGTTGCACGCGGATGCTGCGGTGCACGCAAGCACTGTGGTGTACACAGGCGTTGTGTTGCACATGGCTGCGGTGTATGTACACCGGCGCTGTAGTGCTCCCAAGTATTGTGGTATACGCGGGCGGTGCGTTGCACACGGTTGTTGCGGTGTGCGCAGGCACTGTGGTGCACACGCGCGGTGTGGTGCACGCGAGCGTTGTGGTGTACACAGGCGCAATGGGCAGATCGCCACTTACATGCTGCTCGCGTCCTCGTCGTCGCTCGTCGCTCGTCGCTCGTCGCGTCGTGCGCGCGGGCGCGGCTGTGGTGCCAGAGCCACTCGGCGGGGAGTGGCGTCACGTCATACCCCCCCCCCGCCCTCCCCCCCCCAATGACGCCCGTCATCGCCGAACATAAAGATACGCGCTCCAAGGAGACTGTTTTTTTGCCATGTCCCTTGGCGGTACCGGGCGTGACCGGGGGGAGGGGCGGGAGTTCAGAGGAGGTCCCCATGCTGCTGCCAGTCGCCCGTGTTCCCCTTTTGTGGACCCTCTCGGAGGCCCTCGGAGGCCCTACCACCACCAAGATCGAGAATAATCTGCGATGCGATTTGGTGCAGTTTTGCTTTGGTGACAAGCCCGTAGTCCCACTCCCGCCGCCAACGGCAAACGGGCTGCCCCCTCTCTCTTAAGGACCAAAACAAAATTCATCAAAGCACGCGCGGTGGTGCTGTATGACATGTTGGTTACCAAGAGGAGCGATTATTATTTACCACCACAAAGAAGTGCTGTTTCTGTTCCAGGAACTCCCCATGCCACGCGCCTGCGAGCTGCGCCGCGCTCCTTTTCGCCGTGGTGTCGCAGCGTCGTCTGGCATGACCCTGCCCCTAACTCTCCTTGCGGTCAATTACTGTTGCGGGCGGTGGTGGTGTATAAACATGGCCTCGCATAGTCGCCGCCTCTTGATTCGCCGTGGGGTCCTGGTCAGAACGCGCCCCAGGAGAGGTTCGGGGAGTAGCGGTATCGGTACTGTTTGGTTTCTCCAGGAGTGGGAGGGGGATGCTTCAGAATTGTTTATTCCCAGACGGCCCCAGCGCGAATTGTGATGTGATCAGGGGGGCGGTCACGGGCGTTACCGGAAGCATTTGAAAAGCGGGCTCGAGGGTGTATTTCTTGCCCGTCACCGTGGAGTTCGTGACGCAGGTGATCCGGCGGGAGCGCCCCGACGGCATTCTGTGCTCCTTCGGCGGCCAGACGGCGCTCAACTGCGGCATCCGGCTGGAGGAGGAGGGCGTGCTGTCCAAGTACGACGTGCAGGTTCCAGGCCGCCCAAATCCTGAGGAAGGGCTCGGACTAAACGGTGTGGTGGCGAGTCCGTGGACCGTGTACGTTTTGATGTCGTTTTACAGCAGAGGCGGAACGAAGACCGAACGAGGGAGCACGACAACAAAACGAGAACAGAAAACATGGTGCCCTACCCTGAGGTCTTGGCGTCGCAATTGGCCTGCGAAGCCCCAATCCTGCCCGCGCCGATGAGCGATGCAGGCAATTCGTCGAGCTCTTGGCGAAGTCCGAGCCCCACCCCCGTCTCCCATCGGCGATGTCGGTGCAGGAGAACCGACTGTTGGCAGGAGTAGGGCCTGGACACCGCCACTTGGCAACGTTCTCGTGCCGCGGCGCCAGGGCCATCGCAGATCGATCCTGCTCGGCACATGCCGCAGAAGGATGGGGTCCGTCGGACGCGGCTTGGATTAATCGGGCATGTCCCTCTACAGGGGGAATGTTCAAGAATGGTTCAAAAATTGTCTGGCGACGAGCTGTTTACTATTTTTCGCTTGTTTTCCAACATCCGCCTGTAGGAGGACATGCCCGACCTAAGGCTAGGACGAGGATAAGTCCGTTCCAGAGTGTTCCGGAACGCTCCGAGAAGGCCGCGGCGCCCGAGACATCATCCAGAGCTGCCGGATCTCAGATATTTCCGTTTTACCTTTTTATCATCACCCGCTTTTCTCCTCGTCCTGGCTTCGACCTAGTTCCAGGGCTCCGGCCATGTTTCTTCACGATGCTGCCACGTGCTCGCGTCGTCGGACGGCCGGGCATGTTGGCTTGATCAGGTGGGGCCGCGGGGCCGCGCCGCACCGCCGACGCCTCGGCGGTGCGGTGTTCTCTCTGGAGCTTATGTTCCGCAGTGCCAGCTGGGGCTGGTCCAGCAGAAAAACTACGACTGGAGGCCCTGGAGACACACGAACCATCGAAACGCGATTCCGACACGCCCTCCAAATATATATATATATATATATTTATATATATATATATAATATATATATTGGAGAAGTGATGGTGCATACCGAAAGCAAGGGGGCGACCGTCGGGATCGACATCGGCCTTCCGTAGAAATCATAAGGCGCCCATGTCGAGCGCACACGCCGTGCCCAAAAACATACACACCTAAATCGAATGGTCCGCGCGCCTGCCTAGAGCCAAACATCCTCTCCTCCTCCTCTCCTGGCCCACCTCCATTCCCTCCTCCCCCGTCCGCCTCCTCCCCCGTCCGCCTCCGCCCCCCAGCCCCGCCGAGAGAGTCAAGCGGGGTTCCAGGCGGGCCCCAGGGTGATCCTGGAGCGGCCCCGACAGGGCTTAGAAAGCCCCGAACGGCCCTCACGAGGGCCCGCCGAACACTTCAGCGTCAAATGCTGCCACCAGGGGCGTTTCGGAACTCGCGGAACGAATGCCTCTCCGATCCCGCGCGGAGCCCCTCGATTTGGTCAAATCTTCACGCGACAGAGGCGGGGCAATCCCTGCGCCCTCTCAGGGCCCCGCGCGGGCTCAGAGAGGCATTCGCCCACTATTTCCGACACGTCCCTGGTTGCGGCATTTGACGTTTCAGCGGTCGCCACACCCCGCTCGCGCTCACTCTTCATCCCCTCCCCCTCCCTTCGCTCCCCGTCCACTTCCCAACTTCCCGCCCCTGGGCGCGGGTCCTGAGTCGCAGACGCCCGCGGTCTCGAGGTTATCGGCTCCCACCCCCGCCGCCCCGAGGCTCGGCGACGGGGGTGGCGGGGGGGGGCGGGGTGAGGAAGGAGGCAGAGGAGGTAGATATGACGAGAAGGGAGACGAGTAATTAGGACGGGGAGGGGACGGAGGAGGAGGAAAGAGGGAAGGCGGAGGAGGAGGAGCAAGATAGATGGCCTGGGGGCGGAGACGTTCGAGGAGGAGGAGGTCTGCATTCACCTGCAATGCGATCCATGATACACGACGCGACTCATAACTCGAGAAGGCGGCACGCACCTCCCACCGTGCTGCAGTTTCTGGCAGACGCAAAGGGCGCGGTTCCCTGGCGCTTCGCCGACCAACGCCCATAAGGGCCGCCGACCACCGCCTCGACATTCTTATCGATGAAGGTTGGCGCTGTGGGCACGGCACGTCAGCGCCTGCCCGGAACTTCGTGCCGCATCCCAGAGGCGAACCGGTACAACGCATTCGACCGACTGCGCCATCCTGGCCACAACAAGGCAACGATCTCCCGTCCTTCGGTGCTGACACGCACATCTCCAACTCCACATGTGCCTTGCTCCGGCCCCCCTCCCAACCCGCTCTGGTCGAGCGACCTACGCAGCGTATCGCAGCCTCGGAGGTCCAACCATTACTTGAAGAACAATGCATCGCACGTCTTGTTGGCCAGCACCTTCGGCGATTTCTATTCGAGCGTCAGCAGGTGCTTGGCCAATTCGTGCTGGGCGGCCAGCGCCGCCTTGCGCAAACAACTTTGTCAACCTGCTCGGAGAGCGACTTCAACATCAGTGCCGCCGCCCAGACCAGAATGCACTTGCACATGGTAAGCGAACCGTCCTCAAGGACATCCTCGTCGAAGGAGGCCAGCTGGTACTTCTTGGCCCACGCGCGGGTGCCGATCTCCTCCTGCGGAAATCCCGCAGGGCCGAGCGCGGAGGCAGGGAGGGCTGGGAGGCGAGGGGAGTAGCCAGGAGGCGGGAAAAAAAGTGATGGGGGAGCGAGCAGGAGGACGAGGGGGAGGAGGGGAGGGGGGGAACCAGCATGCCCCACTCCCCCATCGACTCCTCTCGGCCCCCACCACTCCTGCCCCAAGGAAGCAGGCGGTTGGACGCCCGCCGCAGTCCTCCTTGGCGGCGGCGACCTTCTTGAACGGCAACGCCGTCCGCCAGCAAGGTGGTCTTGCCGACGGCGCGCACCTTGTCCCACTTGCCGGCGGCGGCGCCGACCAGCCCGTGGGTCCATTCGGCGCCGTTCTTGAGGCCGCCCTGCTCTTGCTTCAGCTCCACCCCCGTCGCGTTCACGAATTTCCGAAACTTCTCGCGAAGCCCGCGTTCGGCCGCCTCGTCGATCAGGGGGCGCGCCGCGTCGTAGAATGCCATCGCTCACTGCTTGATGAACGCCGTGTCCTCGTGGTCGGGGAACCGCTCATCCGAGAGCTTCTCGGGCAGCGTGGTGGCGGACCCCTTCGCGTCAGATGAGTTCGCGCCCTCATGCGTGGAGCCGAGGTCCACGCTGCCATCCTCGAAGTACTTCGCCTTGAAAGAAGTCGGCCACCTGGGTCGCCAGCTCGCCCTGTTTCCCAAGGGCGCCGAGCACGCCGTCGTGGAGGCTGGCGTCGGCAGAAGGTCCAGGGCAGCTGCGAGCGCGCCCAACGCCGACGAGCGCATCGCCTCGCCGTTCGCGGCCAACCGCGATCTCGATGCTTCCGTCGGCCATCTTCTCCAAATCACTCAGCGCGTCCTGGTCGGCGCAGGCCGCGCCCCTGACCTTCTCCATCGCGGACTTCGCATCATCCAGGACCTCCTGCGTCAATCTCTCTGCAGTGGCGGACTTCTTCAGCGCGGGCTTGAACTTTACCGTGTCCCCTTCCGGCTGGAGCTTGACCAGCAACTCGGCCGCGTCGCCCTCGGCCTCGAGGAAGAACGGCATCTCGTGCCAAGCGGCCCTTGGGTAAGGGATCGCCTCGCCGAAGCCCTAAGCCTTCTCCAGCGATGCTCGCCCCTTCAGCGACGCGTTTCGTGAAGGCCTGGACGAGCGTCTGCTCCTCGCGCAGCGCCCGCGTCTTCGCGATCTCTCCGAAGGAGCTGCCGAGCGCGCCCATCGAGCCAAGCAAATTCTTGGCAACGAGCGCGTTGCCACTGAAACCAGTGTTCCACTCCTCACTCTGGTTGGGGTGAGCCGGCAAGTCGGTCGTCAACGCGCTGTGCACCTGGCCGACTTGAGGGCCCATGGAGTTTAGACCTTGCGAAATTTTCGACAAGCCGGTGAGCATGTCCATGTCGAACGGCACCGGGAAGCCGTTCGGGCGACCGACTGCGCGATCGGGCCGCGTCGGAAAGCAGCGCGATGTAGTGCTTGACCGCCAGGTTGAGCTCCTCCGGGGACAACGTGAAACTGTCGCCAGTGAGCATGTGCAGCGCGCCGAAGATCTCTGCGAGCGATCTGAAGAGCCGCGCGCACCGCATCTTTCTGTTGGGCACGGGGGCAGCTGCCTCAGATCCCCCGCCGAAGATCGACGACGGCGCCTGAATCAGAAGGGGCGCCGGCGCCGTCGATGACGCCCCCCCCCGCCTCCGCCGCCAACCCATCGCGTTCGGCGGCAGTGGCCCCGCGTGCCGCCGGCGACCCGCCCCCTGCCTCTTCCATGTGACCGCCGCTGCCAGGCTCGACCTCGGCGGCGTGGAGCCTGATCGGGGCCAGGTTGGTCTTCCCCCTCGTGATGTTGGCGCACTGCGTGTCCTTGGCAACCGGCTCTGGATCGAATCCTGCCTTCTGGTTGCCGAGCCCCTCCTTGAAGAAATCGAGGACCTGGCCATCGTGGATCGCGTCGTCTGGGCGCGCGGGGCGCGCCCCAGCGGTGACCTTGCGGAGCGCGGCAAAGCTCATCGTGCGACGCGCCCCAGGGGGGAGTTTGAGCGACATTTTTTTTGCCGGTCTCCCCCGCCGCGCCGCCCCGAACTGGAAGCAGTGTCGCGGCGGTGGCGCGCCGGGCGCTGCGAGAGTCAGCCTCGTTGAGGACGGCAACCTTGCGCTTCGCCTTGACGGCGCTGCCGCAGTCCACCGAGGCGCCGTCGCCGCGCGCCGCGAGGCCGACCGTGTCGAGCGCGGCGCGGCTGGCGCGGTCGCCCAAGAATCTCCCTCGATGACCTCGTCGATCGGCGCGCGCGAGAAGACGCGGATGTACAGCTCGGCCATGCTGCGCTTGATGGGCACGCCGCGGCCCTCGCTGGCCCTGGTCACGACTTGCGGGTCGCCCTCGGGGGCGGCTTGGGCGGCGCAAGAGCCCCCCCCCCCCTCCCTCCCGATCGTCGCCCCGCCCCTGCGGGTCGGCCGACGGCCGAGGCCCTTGTCGGCGGGCCCCCTTCGACAGCCACGAGCGGCGACGTCGTGCGCACCGAACGCTTCCAGAATATGCAGAAGCACAAAAACGCAGACCTTCCGGGAGATGCAGCGACGCAACGCACGCCGCGACTTCCAGGACATACACAAACAACGTCGTTGTCAGTCCATCGGGCTTCGCCCGCGCATCTCCCTGGAGCTCCTCTGAAGGCCTCGCCGAAACGCGCCGGCCGAGAAAACTGCTTGGAGGCGCCCTCTGAACCCCGAGACCCGCGGCCGCGCGTGGGGCAGGGGGGCGCCCGTCTGCCTTGGGGGCAGGGGGTAGAATGACGACGTGCGGGGCGACGAGGGGCGAGGGGGAGTTGCGAGGGAAAGAGAGGGGGCGGGGAGTTGTGGGGGTGGGCGGGGGGGTAGAGGAGGAGGAGGGGGAGGGGGATGGGCGTTGTAAGCTAGCTTGCCCGCCCAAGCGCGTAGGCGAATCTGTAGAGGCAACATTCTGGAAACCAATGGTGCGTGATTTGGGCCCCCGGTGGAAAGGATCAGACGATGCTGCAATGTGCGGCTGTTTGAGCGGGATGCTTGCTTCACTTCGGCATTGCATTCATCTAGATCGTCGCCCTTCCTCCCCCTCCCCGCGCCCCCCCTGTCGCCCCCCCGCCCGCCCTCGCCCCCCGCGTCGGGCAGGGGGCGGATGGGGGGCAGCGGCGGTGCGAGGGCGCGGTAGTTTTCCCGCGGCCTGGGCTCCATTGAGAGAGCAGTCAGGGGCCAATGTATGGCTATAAGCATGCCTTGAAACGGAAGCTGGGCGCGAGCTGTCCGAGTGGCCCACGGCGGGCCGCACTTGCGGGCAACGTGAGCAGCGGCCCTGCGCCGACGGCCGCCCGTCCTGCTCGGGCGCGGAGCGGCGACTGGGGGCGGGGGGAATGTCGGCGCTGGGAGTGGGGCGGGTGACAGGCGAATGATGAGCGGACGAAGGGGGGTCGATGTAGTTTGAGGGGGGGGGGGGGGGGGCAGATGCGCCAGCAAAGGCTCGTCCTCCTGTGAGCTGTCACGCGGGGTGCCCGCGATGATCTCAGTCAGAGTCGGATTCCGCGCTGTCAGTGCCCATTGCATCAGAGTCAAAGGGTTCCGGCTCCAACAGTGACGCGCAAGGCTGCGCAGTGCGGCCTGTGCGCGGCCAGTGCGAGGTGTCCATTTTCCGCTGCTCTAAGGCCTCGTGCTCCACGGCGATGTCGGCCTTGAGCGGGGGCGCGACGCCTGGCGCGCCCTCCGCGGCCCCGGTGTCGCCGCGAACGGCGTCGGGCAGCTCGATGGCGCAGGTGCTGGCGCTGCTCGGCGTGATGTCGTGCAACGGGATGGCGCGGTTGAGCGTCGGCTCTGCGCGGGTAAAGTGGCCTCCAGAGAGCGAGAGCACCTCGGTCTTGCCGCGCGGGAGGTAGGGGCCCACGGGGTAGTGTGCGGTCTCGCTGTCGAACTCGGAGCCGGCGGGCTCCGACATGGCACCGCCTCCAGCTGCGTCGTCGGTCGACGCGGCGGCCCCCTCCGCCCCCCCCGACGCAGTGTAGTTCGGGGGCTTATCCTCGACCTCGGTCAAACGAGCCCTCAGGTAGCTGTTCTCCTGACTTGCCTCATCCAGGCGCTTCCCGACCACGTCCAAGCGGTTGTGGGCCCGTCGCGCAGCGGCGCGCGGGGGAAGGACTTGGGGGGGCGAGAATGGCGGGATCGGGATGAGGGGGGGGGGGGGGGGGGCGCGAGGGCGGGGAGGGGAAGGTGAAATGAGGCGCAAGAGCAGGGTGGACAGGCGGGGGGGGGGAGGGTAGAAGCGGAGGGCCGAGGGGTAGCGGTGGGCAGGCGGGCGCATGGGCGCGGAGGAGGGGAGGGGGGGTGGGGGGGGGGGCGGGGTGGAGGGCGGAGGAGAGGGCTTGCGCGGTTGAGGGCGAGCGCGGGCGGAGCACGGGCGGCGCGGGCATTGAATCAAAGGAAGGAAGGAAGGAAGGGGGCCTCGACCAACAGCTCCCATATCCTCTGTTTCTTCGGCGCATGCCCGTCGTCCGACGGCGTCCCGGGGCGGGGGCGACGGGGGCCCTCGTGGTGCTCTGGCCCCAGGCTCATTGGAGAGGCGGCAGCGTCGGCTGCGCAGTCGGGGGCTCTGTTGCGCCGCGGTGGCGACGTCGGTGATGGCCGCCAGCGCGAGGGCGCGCAGGTCTGCTCGTCAAAATGACAGCGAGCTCGAGCCAAAGCGGCCGCGCGCGGGTGGGGGGGGCGGGCGGCCGGCGGCCTCCGGGGGGGCGGCGAGCGGGCAGGGGGGGCCCTTCGCCATCTCCGACCAAGGCAGCGCCACGCCTCTCTTCGGGGCAGAGCTCTCGAGGTGCAGGCGGCGCGGGCAAGTTGAGACTTCATTGCCACCAAGATGCTTTTATGGCGCAGACGTGGCCTCCAAGATGCCTCCACGACGGCCAGTATGGCCCGAGGGGTACCGCGATAAGCGAGACGTCTCCAAGGCGGCCCGGGATGCACCCAAGACCGCCCAATATGGTATCATTCGTATCTAGGGCGGCTTAATCGCCTCCCATGAGGCGTCCAAGACGGCCCAATAGGTCTCCAAGCAGCCTCCGACATGCAACTTATGATGATGAGGGTGATGGCGACGTTCAGGATGAGTATGGTGATGGTGATGATGGTGATGATGAGCATGTTGGTGCTGCTTTTGCGGGCAGTGCGTGCAATGCTGCTGGCGATGGCGGCGCACCGTCTACAAGCGAGAGCCGCGCTGGGCATGGCGATGAAGGGGGGCGAGGGGGGGGGGGCAAGCAGGCGCTGCGCTTATCAAAACGATGACCCAACACCACCTGACTGTCAGGAAGCATGGGGATTGCGTAGTTTGGGAAGGCAGCGAGGTGTGGCAGAGACAGGTAATCAACATAATCAGAGGGTGGCGGGTCGGTCCTCGGTGAACTTCGTCTTGGTCCAGGCGCGCTGGCCAGCGACGGCAGCCGCTGGCGGCTGCTGGCGTATCCCCCCTCCCTTGGGGCTGTCGGGCTCGGGGGGCCCCCTGGGGCTGCCGTCGCCGCCTTGCCGACCGGCCCGACCGCCGCCGCGGGCGCCGGCAGCGCGCCCGGCGCCAGCCATCGTCGGCGACGAAAGATGGAGTTGCCCTCGGGGCGGTCTCAGATCTCAGAGGAAGAATGCACGACATCTCGACTTCTCCTGAGCCTAGGGCGGCAAGCCATGATGGGCATGCGAGATGCGCACAGCCGCTGTCGCATGGGTGGCTCGAGAGGGCCGGTCGGAGGGGCGCGGGCGGGCGCGCCAGAAGCGACTCCGCGAAGGCCCAGCGGGGGGGGGGGCTCCAGGGGGGCCAGAGAAGACTTCGTGCAAATCCGAAAGGGCCTCGGCGCCCCCCCCCCGCCCCCCGCGCCCCCGAGGAGACCGCGAAGGCCCGGCGAAGGCCTCGGGGTGTGGAGAAAGCACTTGAGCGGCCCAAGCAGGCCCAAGGCAACGTAGTTCGATAGAACCCGGAAAGTACCAAGGACCTGCCCCAAGAAAGCGCCACTCGTCCTCCTCGTCCAGCTCCCTCGGCCCTCCTCCACCCCCCTCCTCGTCCGAGCCATCGCGCCCGCCACCTCCATCTGCTCCCCTCCGTCCTCGCTCGGCCACTCTTCCTTCACCTCCCCCGCGGGGGCTCCTGGGCTCTTGTGTGTCGGTAGGCGCCCGTCAGCGACGCGGCGCGTGTCTCCCGGCCCCCCAGGCCCGCCGAGGCGACGCCCCGCGTCTCTGGAACCCACGTGACGACCCTGGGGCGACGCGGGATGCGTCGTCGGGGAGGATTTTTGGATACAGAAAAGTACATATATCAAGGATCCGGACCCC